ACACACACACATATATATATATATATATATATATATATATATATATATATATGTGTGTGTGTGTGTATATATATATCAAATCTTAAACTGAAAAGGCCTCTGCCTTTAAAAAATCTATCTTAGGTCCTAAACTGAAAACAATGCAGTTGCTGAGATTTCTTCGATCTTATTCCATTCCTGTTCAAAAATATTGTTAAAGAAAACTCCACGAAAACCCCATTTTCACTTGTAGTTGGGCGCCAAGATCATAAGCCATCTTCTCTGGTTCTAGAATTCAGTGGTGCTAATTGCAAGAAGGGGACATGAAAAGTACTAAATGGGAAATTTGCTTAACAGATGATACAAAGAAATAAGGTGGGAGAAAGAAGTTTTAATATCAAGGCAGATATCGCAAGAGGGAAAATAAAGGCTTTCAAGCTAATTAATTAGCCTTTCTAAAGATTCTCTGAGATTGATTTAGTATTGTTAAGATGAATCAGCCAGCGAATTTTGATTGCGTTTCCTCCCTTGTCATCTATGACCATCAATTGCGGTTTATAAATTTTCATTAATTTATTTAATGGGCTTATCTTGAGATGATTGAAACTAGGCTCATAACTAAGGAGGATGTTGTTAATCCGTTACCTGCCTTTTAACCAGTTGATTGCTTACAACTGGACCAACGTACTGGACCAAAATATCAGCATGTGTGGCTACAGATATGCAGATTTAAAGAAGCAAAGCTATATTTTAAAATCTTCGTTCTTAAAAAGAAAGCTATCTTTAAATTCTGGGCAAGCTGGCCAAAAGAATGAGGTTGGCTAAATTTTGCATGTTATTGGCAAGAACAGGTTATTTTGTCATTAGTTGTGAAGTGGTGTCCAACCCATCGTGACCCCATCTCCTTCTTCTTTTTCCTTCCATCGTTCCCAGCATTAGGCTCTTCTCCAGTAAGTCCTTCCTTCTCCTTTGATGGCCAGAGTATTTGAGTTTCCTCTTCAGGATCTGGCCTTCTAAAGAGCAGTCAGGGTTGATCTCCTCTAGGACTGACCGGTTTGATCGCCTTGCAGTCCAA